AATTATTGATTTGAGAGAGAGAGAGAGATCAATTTGTTATTCCACTTATTTATGCATTCATTGGTTGACTCTTGTATGTGCCCTGACAGAAAATCAAACCCCCAGCCTTGGTATATCAGGGAGAAACTCCCAACCAATTGAGCTACTCAGCCAGGACTTTTTGAAGTGTCTTGTTACCATGGGGTACTTTGACTTTGGAGTGTTTTTCTTTCCTTTCTCTCTTTAAACAATACATAAAAGTTTTCCAGTGGAAGGGTGGTATTATTTCCTGTAACTGAGGTGGGGTGTGAAATAATTTTCTTTTGAAACAAATGTTTATAAGTTTTTAATGTGGATTAAACGCCCTCAATATTTTTATGGAAAAAATAATGAAGAAGTTATTAACATTGGAAAATAGGCTATCTCAATTACACAGTAACTTTTTCCCAATGGTTTTCTTAATATTTATGTATTAACATCATAATGGCTCAATACAATTTATATAATAAGAAGCCATTATTGTGAAAAATCCATTAAAATAATATCTCCATCCTACAGACAGACTCAACATGCCCATGATGGCTCATGGGGAGCCAACTGCAGGATTACATGATAGGCCGGAAGTTGTGTCATGGTCTACAAGGCCAGGTAAGTAATACACATTTTGTAAAAGAGCCCAGTAAATAGTTACAGATACAGGAATGTCTCTGTAGAATAAATGTGCACTCGGGCAATTATTAAAATATGGATTATGGAAGAGTCTCTTTTCTCCTTTTCTGTAGGCTTTACCCTTTTAATAAGAACAAAAGTAAATGAGACGTGTGTGCACAAAGACACAGAATACATTTTAATAACTTCAGGGACTCTGTTTTAATTGACAAAAGAAATATATCTCAGAGTAGAGAAATGACATCTTGAGATACCTTCATTCTATCTGGGTGTTACAGCTGATACTGGCCTGTGTCAGGCAAGCTAAGAAGAATACATGCTACTCTGATGCCTGGTATTATAGGTGCAGCAATAACTAGCTTGCAGAGCTTCAAAGTGCTGAAACGATTTCAACCTTAATAACCCCTGTGGCATTTTTCAATTTTCCAGGCTGCCAGTCAAATGAATGCATGTCTGAGAAGGAGAGAAGACAAGAAAGGAAAAGATTAACCTCTGAGATATATAAACTCCATGATATAAACTCCATTGGCTAACATCGATCATGTGTTAGAAAACAAACATGGGTAGCAATAGCCCTCTGTGAGCAGTGAGCCCAAATGTTAGAACAAAGATTCCCACAGAGAAACTTGAGCTTCAGGGTCACCTGGCTGAAATAGTCTTGGAATGTTAATCATTCTTATTTCTTCTTCCTCTAGGCTGAAAGAAACCCAGCAGTATCCTCCTGATCTTCAAACTTATTAGCTCAAGACATGGTTCTTTAAAAATGTGCACTGTCTTCCCAATGAGAAAGGCTTGCAGAAAACTCAGACCTGCCACTGCCAGAACTGCCGGATCTTAAGGGAAGTGAGCAAACAGAACTCTTTGTGTGGCGCCTTCTTCATACACACTCCACCGCCCTTCCGCAGGCTTCCTTTATCCATATGCAAATTAGAAACTTTTCTCCAGGAGGTGAAGAACTCCTAATTATGGATGTCTCTGAAAAAACTGAGATTACCTCTATTGCCAAAAGGGCAAAATACAAATTATATGTGGGATGAATCTGCTAAAAAAAAAGAAGCCATTGTGCAGATGGCTCACTGCACCTTGACTTTATTTCTTGCATTTCCAGGAATTAAACAAATTCCATTTTTTCCAAGTGTACTTTTTGCCTGAGCTTTTCTACTTGGTGCTTCTCCCTGAACCTTTGTGCAAGCACTGGGCATTCCAAAAACAAGACAAGGAATCACTCATTTCTGGAGTAAGGGTCTTTGAAAGTCAAAGGAAAAACTGTGAGGCAAAGTTTGTTGATTCTGTCAGAAATCACCAGTTGGAGACCAAGAGTTTTAGACAGGGTCACCATCATACTGCCGAGGGGTTGCTGACTTCAGGAGCTGCTTAAACTGATCTCATCCTTTTTCATTAACTCATCTATTTATCTATTCATTTATTCACTCAAGAAATATGTATCATGTAGATATTATGTGCAGAACCTTGTGATAGACACTAAAGAGAGATAAAAGATAAATGCACTCCAAAAACATGTATCTTACTAAGGAAAGTCTGCCCCACTTTTATCTGACTCATTTCTAGTCCACTCTCCACACTCTTCCCAAGCTAGTGATATTTCCAAAGGCAGCTCTCCTGTAACATCCACTGTTTAAAACACCACAGCCTTCCCCTCACTGCAAGATGAAGCTCAACACTTTGTAAATGGTGCACAAGGTCCCAGGAAGTCTCAACTTGTACCACTCTTTCATTATGCACTGAGCTACTTCCATTCTGGCCTTACTGCATTTTTAAACTTGTAATTCGTAATAATCTCAGAAATGCAGAAAAGTTGCGTAGCTAATAGAGTTCTCACATACTGCTCACCCAGTTTCAGTTTCTCCTCAAGTTACCATCTTCCATTACTGTGACATGCTTTTCGAAACTTAGAAACCAACTTTGGTGCATTACCATTAACTAAACTCCATACATTATCCATATTTCACCAGTTTTTCTACTAGTGTGCTTTTTTCTGTTTCTGGATCCAGTCACTCTGGCCTTTGATTGAATTTTTACTCTATCATACAGTCATGCACTCCACTGTATTGCTCAACACAATCTCTTTTACCCTCACTCCTCCCCCCAGCCCTCTGTGTACTTTCTACTCATTGTTTACATCTCAGCTCGTCTCCCTGAATCTGAGTCTAGTCTGTGTAATGTGCCTTCATAAAACTGTGTGCCCTGCCTTCGTAGGAATTTTTATTATGCCCTTCTTTATGTAATTATTTAATTTGGTTCCTATTTACAACTAGACTCTAAGGGCCATGAAAGCAGAAAGCCTGTATGGTTTTCCTAATCATTATATCCACCAAGACTTAGCACAGTTAGTGTGTGGCATATACTAGGTACTCAAGGAAAGTATTGTATTAATCAATAAATGACAAATAAATGAATGAAAGAGAAGAGTTAGTGATACCGGGAGGAAGCACACTACAGAAATTATAATGAGTGATAGAGACAATGTAGAAAACCACAGGATTTCAAAGAAAGAAAGATCAAACTAAGAGGCATAATTATAAAAAGACTTCATGAAAATAGGGTGGGGCTTTACCTGGACCTTTTATTCACTCAATTAATAATATTGAGTACCTACTAAGTGTTAAACATTCAAAGTGTTTGTTCATTTTAAGCAAAGAAATTACATGATTAGTGTGACCTGTGAAAACAGTGGAGCAATATGGGATATGGACTGGAGTCGAAAGAACTTAGAAATGTAAAAAAGCAATTAAAATAATTATCTAGGAAATACTGAGACCTTACACTAAGGCAGAGGTGGTGAAGATAAGGAAATATTGAGGAGACTAATTCAACAAAGACTTGCAAATACTGAATAACAAAATAAGAAATTCCCAGTAGGTGAACAGAACAAGAACAAGTTAAGAGTTAAATATTAGCATGGATATTTAGAACACAGTGAGAGTACTTCCATGTTGAAGTAAAGGGCTCATGATGGAGGCAGTGAAATAGAGACTTGGATAGATGAATTCTGCTTCTAAAAAGTCAAGTAGAATGGACTTTATTCTATTAGTAATGAGTCATTAAGCAATAATGACATGATAAAAGTGAGATATAGGATGAAGAGACTTTAGACAAAGGAAGGTGCATTGAGAAGCTGCTGAAGAAACGCAAGCACTCGCTCTAGACGGCTACCATTAGAAATACAAAGGAAGGGACATATTTACAACACCTTCTGAAAGAAGATCAACTTGTAAGTACTTGAATCAGCATCCAACATAGTAACTAGTACAGAGAAGTTTGTCTTCCATAGATTTAATTGACTTACTCCTTTTTATGAACAAAACACACCCTGGAAGACTAGTAGATTTTGATTATCCACTGATATTTATTCAGAATCTTTTATATGACACATACATGGAACACACACAAATATGTATACACATGGTCCTTTGAGCTGGGTTTTTTTTACTCTTATCAGCTTTCAGGAGAAGCTGACTATATGTGATATACCTCTGTGGCTATCGCCTTCCAAAGTGGCCTCAATGATCTCCACCACCTTCATTTACATACTATCTGGTCTCCTCATACCTTACACTGTGCTTGACCCATGAGACCAATGATATAAAGCAGAAGTGATGGTTTATCACTTTCTAGAGTATATAACAAAAGCCCGAACCTTCTGTCTCGGCTTTCTTTCTCTCTCAGATCACTCACTCAGGGGGAAGCAGGCTGCTGTTGTCAAGAAGACATTCGGCCTGCCCACGAGGACTCACAATTGGCAAGGAACTGAGGCCTGCAAGCAGCCACATGAATGAGCTTGGAAATGGAGTCTCCACTCCCAGTCAAGCCTTGATAAGACTGCCGCTGTTGCCAACAGCTTGACTGCAGCTTGAGACCATGAGCCAGAACCACCCAGCTAAGCTGCTCCCCATTTCCTGCCCTGCAGAAACCAAAAGGTAATAAATGTTTGTTGTTTCAAACTGCAAAAATTGGGGGTAATTTGTTACACAGAAGTAGACAACTAAAACAATTTCCTACTACCAAACATTGAAAACTACCAAGGAAATCTCATTTCCATCTTAATCTTGGCTGCTAAAGAGTACAAGCTAATATTCTTGATGTTGTTGATTTTTCTTCCTTTTCTTTTTTGGTCTCCATTCTTTATCTTCTACCTAATGATTTTTTATCTTATTGTACCCACCCATTTATTGTAAAACTCCTTAACATTTTTTTAGAACTAGATGGCCCTGGCTGGTGTGGCTCAGTGGATTGAGCACCAGCCTGTGCACCAAGGGGTCACTGGTTTGATTCCCAGTCAGGGCACCTGCCTGGGTTGTGGGCCAAGTCCCCAGTGGGAAAAAGCAACCACACATTGATGTTACTCTTCCTTTCATCCCTCTGTCTAAAAGTAACTAAATAAAATCTTTAAAAAAGAAATAGATGGGAAATAAAACAACAAAGTAAAACTAGTGGGCCCTACATAAGATCCCAGCCACCCTCAGAGAGATCACAATCTCATTGAAGTGAAAAGAGAACAAGTCAATTACCAGTGTTCAACCATATAGAGATTGCTATTAAAATGCAAACAAAAGGTAAAAGTTGTGTTTTAGGTCAAGTTCCCCAGAATCGGGCCTTGAGATAAGATTTGCATTATTAAAGTGCTCTCAGAGAGAACTACTAAGGAATGAACAAAACAGGACAGGGAAGGAGAAGAAGCCAAGCTTAGATAGTATTTCAAAGTCTCACAGAACATTCTGCATAGAATGTCTGGGATGTAAATTAATCCTTTGTAGCTTGTCCAAGGCAGAAGTGATGAGCTTCCACACCTCTGCACCAGCCACTCATTGGCAAGGGCCTCTAAAAGGACAGATAAGCACCCAGGCACTCCAGCTCTCTGCAGGGCATCTTGAACATGCAGGCCAAGTGGCTTCAGTAGCCTGAGGAAAGTCCTCGAAAGAAACTGCAGGTGTCTGCGATCAGAAGAAAGAACACCCTGAAACCAAATTAAAACACATAGAACTGGTGAAGAGATCTGAGGGCATCTGAGATCTGAGAGTACCAAGGTCTGCTCTATCAGGGAAAACTCCATTCAAAGAGATGCCTCTTCACCTGTACCAAGTCTTACAGGATAAGGTAGAATTGGAACAGACATGAAGGTAAAAGTATTTTACAGAATCTAAATGAAGTGACTAACCAATTACAAAATTAGCAGAACCTCTCAGGTACTCTAGAATGATCTGATATTTAACTTAGTCTCTTAATTTTATTTCTAATCCCAAGGAGGGATCTTGAATCATCTCTTATTTGGGTTATTAAAACACAATCGTTTTTGGCAAAGAGGCAATGAGAGGTTAAAATAATCTTATGTGTCTTCCAAACCTTAGCAATGCTATTTTTTTCATTCATTTTGGTTTTAAAATACAAATGCAGAATAAAACTCTGGGCTTGATGTTAAATAAAAAGAAAGCTTGGTAGAAGAGGATGATGCCCACCAAGTGTTTTGAGACCCTCTCTTCTATTTTTTTCATTATTCCCAGGTTGCTGAAATTTGAAAACCATTTCGAATGCAAGCTATTTAATAATATGTCTCTTTTTTATTCTTTTTAGAATTTATCTCTGACAAGCAAAGTGCTGTAATAGCTTTTCCTCCTATATATGCTTTAGGATTTAGTCTAACTTTATCTGAAGTTGAGCATAAAGGCATAAATCATTAAGCCCCTGCTTGCCTGATCAAGAGCCTATCTTTCAGAAAAATCAGGTGTCCAAAGGCTGCTGTTCACAGAAGCTCTATTTTCTGGCTCTCCATCAGGTTTGCAGACACTTCTCCCCAAGGATTCATCAACCTCCAAATAAAGAAGGAAGGCAGGTCAATGACACCAAAATCTGCAGCTTCAGCAGCTTCTGGAGTTCCTGGCTAGAAAAAAAAATAAAATAAAGAAAAAGAAAGAGAGTGAAAAAAACACTCTCAAAGAAACTTTAACAAATGGTCTCAGAATTCATAGGTTACATCCTGCAAAGGAGACTTTCAGAACCCTATAACAAGCAAGTTTCTGGTGTTACCGTGACGGGCTACCAACCAGCCCAGATAGATGCTGGTCATTATTGTTTCATTAGCTACAGTACATTTTTGTGTGCCATTTTATCATTTTGACAAAAGAATTTCTTCGTATCTTTTATTATGTTATCATGATTTAAATGTGGATAAATCATACTGAAAGAGTCTGTAGATTGTAGGCAGTGCCTTCCAATTGAACACTCCTCAGATGCCCTTGTACTTTGGCAACCCAGTCCACACCACAAAATGATAGGATTGACATCCTTTATAAGAACCACTGTGTTGGGGGTTATTGCTCATTCTACAGGCAAGAAAGCTGAGATTCAGAGGGGTTAAATAAGCCTACTTAAACAAATAAGGCCAAATGAAGCCTGTTGTAGAAGCCCAGCCACCTATCCAAGTGTTTCCAGTATACCACAGTTCAACTAAAAAGGTTAGAGACAAATTTAAACTCCAAAGTTTTGTTTGTATGGAATTTAAAGAGGCTTTGGAGGGTGAGACACAACACAATGAAACATGAAGAGATGAAAAACAAACTCTGCTACTTCAGCTCTGACTGAGACAGGGCCACACACAGGATTGGACAACAAAGTGGGGGAGCCAGCTAGAGATGGAAGAGGCAGCGTAAGTATGGCAATCAGGATAGAGTTAGCTAGGGTTTGGGGCTTTCCATAGATTGGTTGATTTAAGTAATTCCTGTGGTATCTGGCCCAGGGGTGGTTAGGGTGGGTGCATAGTAGCCGTGGAGTGTGGAAGCTCCATAGGGTGAATGGTTGAGTTGTGGACTTAAGCAGTTATTCTGAGAAAGAAACTGATTGGCCTTTAGCCATAGCTGTAGAACTGGGTGAAGACAACATCTCTAAAAAATTTCATTACGAGTGCTTATCAATAAATAGTGTCAGCCCTATGTCAACTCTCAGATACTCACAGAAGGAGCTGTGAAAAAGAAAATTAAACAATACCATTCAGAACCCATAGACCCGGGATGAGTTCCTCAGCAATTCATTTGCCTTGTCATTTGAGTAAGTCATGTGACTTCCTCAGGTTCATCATCTGTGCATGAGGAATTCACATTACTCACCTCCCAAGATTACTGCAGAAATTAAATATAATAATACACAGCTAAACAAGTATGCATAGTTCATATGTTTATATAAAATATTAGATTTAAACAAGGAATTTTTACCTTAATCACAAGTATCATACAAATATAATGATGTCAAACTACTTTTAAATGACCATATTCTTATCACTACATATGCATGCAAGCCTAGCTCTCAGGGAGTGTCCTTTTACCACCAAATAGACAGAGCTATAAATTGTGGAGTCTTGATATAATAGATCAGATAGCTCTTTCCAATGTGTTATGTTCTATTGCCTCAGAATAATAAACTGCCAAGACAATATCATGCATCATATTAGTGGCAGATTATTCAGCAAAACTCACAAGGAGAGGAACTTACAGCTCACAGACAGATTCCAGGCTTCATCCTTTGTTATCTTGTCCTTCTTTGTAGAGTCCTGAGTTTTATAGAGTAAAAAAAAATCTTATAATAATCAGCAAGCAGCATGATTCATGGAAACACTTCAAATTCTTAGAAATACAAAACTTTACATTTATCAGGGGTAAAGCAAGATAAAAATAAATCATTCTGGACTTAGAAGGACTACTCTCAAGGCCAAGATTTATGAAGGGGATCAAGGAATGGGAGTCTGAGTATAAAACATTCAGAATTCTTTCCCAGACATTCAGAACTTCCCAGTGGTTCTCAGTTCATTTTTCTCAGGAAGCACAGTTCTTCTGATATCAATGAAAGAAACTCAAATTGGCCTCACTATTGCTTCTTTCACTCTTCCCTCATAAGAATTGGATAGTAGAGCATACCCTCCCAAGAAAGGAAAAGACCTGACTTACATTCTCCACAAAAACAGGAATACTGATGAATTATTCAAGTACATATTTTTTTCCAAAGCACTGTAGGTAGTGTGTACTTTCAAGATGTTTATGAAGTAATGGTTTGAATAGTCCAGTTCCAAAAAGAAATATCCAACTGCTACTCCTAAATCTCAAACATCTAAGGGTGTCCACTTACAAGTGAGTGAAAGCTCTCATACAGAGTTTTCTTATCTGCTGGGTATCCTTGAAACTCCAGAGAGCCTCCTGCTGCCCTGTTCATCTGTTCCAACTAAGCTCTCTGCAACAACTCCCCTCCTGTATCAGTGGTCAATACTTTGTCACACGTTCACCCTAAATCAGCCACTGGTGAGGGAAATTTGCCCACATCCTTTGGCTTAGATGAATCAGGATTTATGGCTGAATCTCATGGAAAAGTTCTAATATGCCAGTGGGTAAGAACCCACAAGATCTGTTAGCAGTGCCTTTTCTTGTGCCCTGCGCTTAGCGTTTAATACAATATCTTATTCTATCCTCAAATATCTATGAGGTGCTCATCACTGTCCTCATTTTACATCTGAGGAACCAGTTGCAGAAAGAATCACTAACTGCCTAGTACATCAGTAATATGCCCAGATTTACACTACTTTTCATCGTGGAACCAGAAACTATGGCTAGGTTTGTCTGATTCCAAAATGCTTGCAATCACCCGATGTGATGAACTATGAAGTAAAAACTTCAGCTGCTGTCATTTCTCTTGGATCACCATAACAAGTTGCTACCGAATCATCAATTTGTTTTCCTTGGATGTTGCTACAAATAACAGGAGAAAGATACCAAGCTTAAGCCCTTTTTGGTCATCCCAACCTCAGCTGAGAACAATTCATCGATATTGAGACTATTCAACAAAATGGCCATATGGAAACAGAGAACCAGAGGCTTGCTATGAAGTGCTGAGAACAATAGAGATACCAAAATATCATTGATTCGCTGGAGAAAATATCCCTGTTCTGATTCTCACATGCTGATACTACAGATGGACCCAGCTTAGCTGAGGCACGCTCTGTGCTTCAGCTGTTTACTTAAGCAGCACCAGGGTTCTCAGAAATAGTTGCTATGCCAACCAGCTCCAGGACTATATATACATTCATGACCAGGGCTTATTCTTAGGGCTTTGTTACCTTTCTTTCTAAAGTTTGACTCTCTTACTGCTAAACTGCTTGTATTCGTGCATTACGGACTCTGGCAGGCAGATTTTTTTTTAACTCCAGCAGGTGAAAAATCCAAGTGGAGGTTTGCAGCCTGTACTAAGCAACCTCTGACATCGATATTTTTTAATTTAATCTTTGTTGTCTTCTTTCCCATTACCATGTAGTCCTCTTATACCTCCCTCCCCACAGCAATCACCACACTGTTGTCCATGTCCCTGAGTCCTTTTTCCTTTTACTCAATCCCTCCACCCCCTAACCTCCCTCCCAACTAGCTGTCATCTGTTCTCCATCTATGAGTCTGTCTCTGTTTTGCTTGTTAGTTCAGTTTATTCATTAAATTCCACATATGAATGAAATCATGTGGCATTTGTCTTTCTCTGGCTTATTTCACTTAGTGTCACAATTTTATAGTCAGTGACCAGACTGCTCTATCTGTCCAAGCCCCTGACAATTTGGTGTTTAGATGACAAAGGGCAGCATCTTTTGTCATCTATTATTAACTGTCAGGTGTGCCCATTACCACAGAAGTTGTCAGAGGAGAAAGTAAAGCATGCTTTTCAGGTGCCATGATTAACATGCTTTTTAAATTTCCACACTGCATTTTTAGTGGGACACATTTCAGGACAGCATCAGCGAACAAATTTGGCCAATCAATCCTCCTCAGGTCTCCTGCTAGAGCTGCATTTAAATAAACCTGTAATGTTGAAAACTGAACAGAGAAAGCTCTTTAATTACCTTTTCTCCTATTTATGTTACTTTGATGGCCTCTGTTTAAATGTATCTGAAATTTCAGTCTGTTTATTTTATAATTATTGAATGACTACATACGGCACTGCCATTTCAATTAGATTTTGATGACTGATAAAATTGTTGTTGACAGAGAACACACAAATGAATGTGGGTAAACCAGATTAGCGATATTTGTGTTGTTGGATTTAAATAAAACAAAATGACCTGGTGGCTATGTGATCAAATCAGAAAATTTTGCTATAAAGACAAAGCAGCTCTGTGAGAAATCAGGTTTTCAACCAAGAAGCTGTTTTCTGTAAAGACATCCTTTTAAAGCCTCAAGTATGCAGCCACTTCTTCTTCAAACAGATTCTAAAACCAAAAACAGGCATATAATCTCTTCTAACAAGAGGTTTGCAGCTAGACAGATTGCTTTGAAGGAGAAAGAAGTGAAAAGAAAGTCAAGATCTAAATGCTGATAATGCATGCTAAATCCATTTGAATTGATAAGGTAGAGAAAGTTATGGTGATAAAGCTTGAGGGGTTAAGACTTTATGTTCACCCAGAAGATCAACAACTAGGGAAGAAGAAAATTTGGAAACATTTCCATTTCCAAATAACAGCTGAAATATACAAGGGAGATGAGGCAGAGAAGAAACAAACAGGCTGTTTTCCGAGAACAGACCATGCTCAAGCAGGGCTCAGTCTTGCTCTGTTGTTAGTATAACAAATGCTCAAATGACAATCTTTGTGTGCTAAAATATTTGCAAAAAGTAATAAAAATCTGCTGTTTATTCCAAGTTGTTAAAGCAAAGCGGGAGAGTTGAAGCAAGAGCGAACCATGTACAGTCAGCCAGACTGAAAGGATACTAACATCTATCCCCACAGCACGCCCTCCACCATCCGGGCTAGGTGCTCCGTGCTGCGTCAGGACAATGTAGCCTCCCAGTTCAGAAGGTGAGGCCCACACAGCTGGCCATGGGCAGAGCTCGGATGAGGACTCCGGAGTGTCTCCAGCATCTGTGTTCTTGACCATTCGTCAATGGCAGGTTATGTAGTCTGATTTCATCCTGTTCAACATTCACTTACTGATTCAGTCTACTCTTTGCCGCTCCTCGCCCTCCTCTTTCAGCCACATCTGAGATCTGGACCAGGAAAGGTCAACTGGAGTGGAAGTGAGACAACACCTATTGTCTACATATTCACAAATAGCCTGATGTTAAATGTCCTGGAAAACAAAACCCAGAAAGGTTGGCTATACTTCTCATCTTTCATTGGATGTTTTGATAGAATAATTTCAGCTAATAACTGCATAGTGCTTTCTATGTGCCAAACACTTTTCTAAGGACTTCATAGGTAATAACTTATTTAATCATTATAACGCCAAATGTTCTTATTTCCATCATCCTCATCTTACAGAAAGGGGGCAAGGGGGCAAAGAGATCTCTCAGTTATAAAATAAGAGAGCCAGTTTCTGACCTAGGCAATCTAGCCTAGCCGCCAGTCTACACTCCTGCCTAACATTTGCAGGTCTGCAAGGATAACTGAGTGTGTGTATGATTGTGCATCATGCACACTTACACGGTGCTCGCATCTAGTTGCAACTCTGATCCACTAACAAGGAAACAAAATTTCTTTTCCGTCACCTGTTGTTTTCTATGATTACCACCAATCACTGGCTTCTGAAAGAATTATTTTTAATTGTTATTAAATATATAGACTTGCTAACATATTCCTGACTCAAATTTATGAATAAGCTATTTATACCCTGTTTCCTGAGTACATTGCCTATAGTCTCTCCTTTCACATGGAAAGAGACAGCTCTGTAAAGGTCATTTCTGCCAGTAAAGCTTTCCATACCTCCATTCCACTGTGTGTGGGCTTTCCTTCAGACCTTGCTGCAAGTTCACAAAGTAATGTAGGTGTCATTTTCTCATAGCGAAGAGGCAAAGAACCACATGTGGCAAAAATCAAAGATAATAGTCAATAGGATAAGTTCGGAAAACTACAAGATGATGAAGGGAGAACAAAGGAAATGGGGGCTGAAGGAAGTCAAGCCGGCTTGCCCATCCCAACTGCTGATCAAGTCAGACAACCTGTGAAGGTCCTGGGGAGGGTGGAAGGAGGCCTGCTCACCAAGAACTGACAGTCACTGTGTTCTGGGCTCTGGGAGCTTCACAAGGAGGAGAAACCAAACTCTATAACCTTAAAACTCTCACAATTTGAAGAAGAAAGAAATGCACATGTCCATATAAATTAGGACAAGATTTCAAAAAGGTCCATCTTGCCTCTCAGTAAAACTTTGAAAAAAGGAAGTATCTTCTAATTTTTTAATCTTTTCACTCCAATGGATGACTATCAATTGATTATTGTTAAACAAACTAATAAAAATTGTTATTAAAAAATAAATAGCATAATGAAGATTCTTGAAATGGGCAGAGGGGACTTTCCTTTGATGGTGGAATGAGTGATGCTGGAGTTTGAGGACCTATTGGAGTCCATTTGCTTCTGGAAGTGAGATGTCACTTTAAAAGTTTCTATTGTATTAACACAGAACCAAGATCTGAAATGAAAAGTGGTGATGTGGTTTGAGAGTAGCATGTTCTTACCCAGCAAGTTTAAGAAGTTAGAAAAAGGACTGTGAACTCTTGGTTTCTTCCTCAGTAGTGAGGCAAGTCAGAGAAAAAGAACTTTTTAAAAGGATAAAAATTCAATACTGCATTTCAAATATGAAGATAACTGCCTTTCCCTGCTCTAATCTTAGTGACCTGTTTTTATACTGGTGATACATAAGGCTTATTCATCTACTCTCACACTTGACCTCCCCTTCTCACCCTACTCTTCAATAAACATCATACATTTAAGATAACACAACAAAACAAAACAAAACAAACCCTGAAGTTTTGGGTTAGGGAATACATGGTAGAGTTAACTGGAGAAAAGAAAGAGAGCTGGTTCTTATCGACATGTAACAATGAAACCAGACAGAAGCAAGGCCAAGGGGTTATTTCAAGGGCTGGGCTAAAATAGCTGCTTTTCTGCTTTTAATTTCAATTACAATGACAGTTTACCTCAACAAAGTCTGCAGATAAATTATGATTCTGAATCTGAGAACATGGGGAAAGTTACACATCTTGTCAGAATTTTGTTTTGTACAGATAAACTTTTAAATCTTAGCATTCAGCAGTGTATGGCCTTAGGACAGTATGCCAGTTTCTCTGGATGTCTATTTCTTCATCTGTAAAAGATGGTGTTGAATTGGGAAGAGATATAAGCTCCAAGGAGATCTGCTGAAGCTCTTTGAGTCCAAGCACTGTGACATGTATAAGTGGTCTGCAACACACTGTATCACTGTGGGGAGATTCACTCAAGCAATTCTTTCATCATGTAAAAAAGCGATTCTGTCCAGTACACAATGCTACTTTTTAATACTTAAACACACAAAGGCTGTATTATTACTAGCATTTTGTTTTTTTTCTTTCTCATCAAATATAAATATATTCAGTTTCTTCACACTGAATTTTTGGAAGGAAGAAGCATAGAGAATTTTCAGAAGAAAGACAGCTTATATTCTATTTCATGTCAGTTTCATTTTTCAGGTCTCACATTCATTTAGCATGACATACTCTTAACCAAACTGCAAAATATGAAGATAAATAATCAAATCACCTCCATTCTCTTCTCTCTTACCTCTTCTGTTAGAGGACATGAAACAAGAGGAGGGGAGAAGAAAAGAAAGGAGAGGAAAATCTCTTCCAGGTCTCAAACTATCACAATCAAAATGAAAGACCTTACAAACATACTTTTCAGAGTTCCGAGTCTCGCTCTTCTGAAGGGCTGAAGAGCAGATTTCTTGCCCCTCCTCCACGGTACTGATTGCTCTGTCTGCAATTTCACCCCCTGCTCCTCGGTAATCTCTCCACTCAGCTTTGTTTTCTGAGCGCTTTCCCCGCCCTCCACGTCTCTTCTGTGATTGCTCTGGCCTCCCTGGCTGTCTCCAAGCCACCCCCGTTCCTCCGTTATCCCTCTCTTCTATTTTGGTAACCCTTTCGGTGCCTTCCTCTGCTCCCCCCCACCACCCGTGTGATCTTTCTGGCCTCTGTAGCTTTTCCTATGATCCTTCTCTTTGTTTTTTTTTTTCTGTGAGAGTTCTCTGCCCTTTCTGGTTTTCTCAGCCTTTAGAACTCAGAAAACCTCAAAAGGTTCAGGGACTAATTACAGGTTGGATAAGCACCCAAAATTAGGATTGCTTACGGCAATTCTTTACTGAAAGTCTGTGGATACAAAAATCTCATTGGGAAAGTCTGCCTTATAAAAGTTCAAGTACTTAGAGTTGTATTAAGAGAATAATTTCCCTTCAAACACTGGCCTTTCTGCTTCTTATTTTGGGTAGGGTGAAAAGGAGTTAGCCACTGCTCTCTGTGCATAGTTTATGTTCCTTCATTTGAAATAGGCTTCACTTGACCAGAAAAAAACAGCATGCTGAGTACTGAGAGGGGACCCAGCAAGCACTTTTGATTTGTTCAGTAAAGATTTATTGAATACCTACTATGTGCTAGAAAGGCAGGAAGCTAGACTTCATTTCAATCTCCACCAAGTAACTATAGATTTACCTCCCATGAATATATTTTATAGACTGTGACCTTAAACTAGATTGGAAATGTCAAAAATGTTATTGTATAGGTTTCCCTATCACTCTTGTTTCACATCCTAGAATTTAAAAATTAGATAGCTATTTACCTCCTGTTACCTTAAAGTGTATATTGCTATTATTTCTATCACGGAGCAGCTTAGGTGCTTTTAAATCCAAAGTTTACATGGATTCTCCCTTTCCAGGTCAAGCACAATTACCAGGATTACAAGCTCATACCCTATAGGCTAAAAAAATAGATAATGTAGAGAAGGTAATTCTTTTCCCTTGATGTGTCCATCCAATATTTAGTAAATTTCTTTGTTTAGCTTTTGCTTTTACATCTCTTGAGAAAATTGGAAAATGAATTTTTATAGTCAACATTTAGCCAGATTGCATAATCTGAAAATATTGAAATGTTGAGCCAAATGTTCAGTTCTATCTTCTGTCAGACTAGTATCTGGGCAATTTCCTTTGTATCCCTTTGTTCTTGGAGTCCCACACTGATGATTCATGGGCCACGTCTGCCAAAGGATGTGTTTTATTTGCCTGTAAAATATTTTGTAAATTTGAATATAAATTCTCTAACAGACTGAAAATCTCCACTTTGTTACACTCTCCAGTAATATTTGTTGTTATGGACTTGTTCCATTTCACACATTTATATTACTCACCTAGTTCCATAGACATTCGGATTTATGATTCCTAAGTTGAGTGATAAGTTGGACCCAAGTGGGAGGAGAGATATGGAGGGAAATAAAATTTTGATGATATTTCAATACATCCTCACAATAGGTTTATTTGAAATGTAGTGAGGAAATGCAAACTTTGATTAAGATGCCCTCTCCCACACTTTCCTCATACGGATAATACATAAGATGAATGAAATGAAGAAAGCCATTCAGTTCTCTTAAATTCCCACGAGAGCCTTCTGCAGTGTTTGGGATGAGTGAGCTTGTACACTTAGAGGAATTCTCTCCTTTAACAGACACTAGCAGGAACATGCACTTCCTCCCACATAGGAGGGAACCTGCACTTCCCTCCTCACAGAAGTGAATGTTGCTTTCCAGTTACTTTTCCTGATTGTTTCAAGAATCAGGAAGATAATATTTATAAATCATCCCTTAAATTAAAATTGCATAGATTATATAGACTATCACTTATGGTGTGGTGAGGTAATGCCTGAGCATAAAAGGGTATCGGGATTACAAGACTTGGTCCATATCCTCCATTCTGGCAGGATCTTACCTACATGGGAAGTGTCTGGACTACATATGACTTTTCTACATGCTCCATGTAGCCATCGCACCTGAGTTCCATATTAGCATCTTAAATGTGTGTCTAGTTTGGAAGAGAAAATGGTAGTGTGCAATAAAGGATCACCTCTGCCCAGATGGAGTTTTGATCTTGTCCTCAGTTCTTGAAGGCTGACCTCGGAGGCCTTGGAATGACATTTCTCCATAACAGTGTCTTTGTTCGCCTCAGAGATTTGGGCCTCACTAGAGAGTCTCTGCTAACAAAGTGACTTACAGTGGGGAGCCTTGGTGGTAAGAACTCCGCCCATGGGAGAGCTGAAGACTAAGGTCAGCCATGTGGGTGGTCAACCACGACTATGTGACTGAGAAAAAAACAAACCTCTGAAAATCAAGAATCGGACAAACTTCCCTGGTTGGCAGCACTGCGTGTGTGTCGCTGTTCCTCAAAGCTGAGAGGAAGAGGGGCCGTCCGACAAGTCCACGGGGAGAGAACGACTGGAGGCGCTGTGTCCACCTCCTGGACCCTGCCCTAGGCCACGCTCACCTCCGCTGATTTTATCCACGCCTTTCACTGTAATAAACCCTATCCAGGAGGAAAACAGCTTTTCTGCGTTCCATGGGTCCCTTCAGTGAATTATCAAACCTGAGTATAATCTTGGGGACCTCTGAACTTGTGTCAGAAATGGGAATAATCTGGTGGACTTTCAAAATTGCATGTAGACAGGGGTGAGGAGAAGGGACAGAATCTGTAAATCTCTAACATTTTTCAGTGATTTTTCTGGAGCTTCTATCCCTACAAAGCCAACTGTTTTCAGAAGACGGTCTCCCCGGACGTCCAGCCCTTATCCAGCTCACAGAAAATGGTCTGGGCACCAGCGAAGGGCAGCCTGAGCATTTCAGCAACAGCACACAATCCCTCTCCATCTGTCCAACCCGAGCTCCACCAAGAGAGACAAAGGGAAGCCAGTCAACTCATCTTTCATTCGCTCTCATCATCTTATTCAGTCAATTTTATTAAACCTGCTTCTTAATATTATCCCATTAAGGAAAAAGATAATTACAATATTTACATCTTGTTTCCCAACACTTAGTAAAGTCACAAGTATTTAACTTCACACTTAAAAGAAATGGGTACCAATGTATCTGACACCTAATACTCAAATGCAAATCTCAGAGTGATGTTGAAAACTCAATTTCTTTTTATTTCTGACTACAAAGAACAGATGGCATTTTCAGTGAACTGATCTCAAATTGCCTGTGGGACCAGAGGAAAAAACACAGGTATGCGTGCAGATCCATCTTACAAAGTAACAAATTATATTTGGAAAAATACACATCTAGACTAATTTTACCCATGAAACTAATAGCATGCTGTCAAAGACTGAAAAAGCTTCCCCAGTACCTGTTACTTTCCTTTTTAGTATAAGACTCCAAGCCCTCAGGCAGAAATACAGATGCCCAATGGCACACATCCAGGGTTTCCTCTCCCCCAATGCATCTTCCACAGTAGTCACAGGACACACCAGGGGCACAGAAGATAGACATGAGGGTGGCTGCTCTTCCCATTCCCACTACTTACTGAAGGATTACCAAATACTTGTCACTGTGATACAGGGTGCAGCCAAGGGGGGACCCCCAAAAAAGATTTGGAATGGTGTCCAGAATTCAAAGTGTATAGGAATATTGGAGAGACATAAGATGTCCTCACCCCCCAAGGGGGAAGGGACCAATAGAGCAGGGCCATTGAGCGCTGTTTTGCATAGCAACAGTTTTGCAGCTAACCTCTGGAATGGTTATTTAACATATCTATAACCTTTGACTGGTTTCATAGATATGTTAAATAGCTGTGGCCAAGTTTGGAGCCAGGGGGAAGGGAGTGGACTGGGACTCAGGAGGATGTAACTAAGGTCTGCACTCCTGAGTGAGAAGGGCTTGGACTCAGGATGGAACTAAGGGCTGCGTTCCTGAGTGAGATGGCCTGGGTGGGAGCTTGGAAAAGACTGGCTCCGAGACATGAGGGGATAACTGCCCAGGTGAAAGGGAAAACCACACAGCTTTGCCAGAATGGAGATCCCTACAGCCAGGTGAAGAAGAAAGCCACATGCTTTTGGTGGAGTGCAAACCCCTGCAGCTTTGGTAGAAGAGGCCCACGTGGCTTTGGGGTGCCCCCTTTGGCCTCATGGCCTGGAAAACAGGAGAGACTTTGACTGGAACTGGGTACAAAGAACTCTTGCCAGTGGACCATGAGAGGGTACCACAGTACTTTGGATTAATGAGAGAGAGGTCCCGCCCTCACGATGACACAGCTGACGGTGCCAGCGGCCTGCAACACAGACGTGTGCTCTTTTCCTGATTTACGGTACCCGGAGTGGGACAGTGGGAGAAGGGAGAGCTGTGTGGGTGTAGGTGTATACCCTAAAGGACTTTGATATTTTAGTAGTGGCGTTAGGCCTGAATAGCATTAAATAAACATTTTGTTTCCTTTTCACAAATCTCTGGCATTGAGAGATGTCTTTGCAATTGGTGGCAGACAGAAGAGCCCAATAGATATTAGTATACCGTCCTTGGGAGGGGCCTCTGTTCTGTACCAGTTTTTGGCATCCCTAGGTGGGCCAATATTGTCCCCTCCCCCGGACCTCTGGTTCGGTAACAACTGTGCTGAGCACACTCATGACTTCCTTTAATCTGCCCAGTCTGCCCGTTCTGCCCTGCAGGAAGGAGATATTATTCTTCCCATTTCACAGAGATGAAGAATCCAATGTTTAGAGAGGTTAAGGACCTGCCCAAGATCACAAAGCTAGCAACAGCCAAGTCAGCATTCCCCAGCTCTGTCCACCTAACAACATAATTTAATCTCAACATATTCAGTGTTTTGGTTAATTATAGAGTCTGATTATAGCAATTTATCCTATATATCATTAATAAATAGCTAATTTTCAAAGAAAGTCCAGTAAAATAGTCTTAAGACTCAAAGTGCAAAAATTACACAGAATATAATCAAATTTTTCTTGGATGTTTCCGATAATACTTTAAGCCCTAATAATGTCTCGGGTGCATCATCC